GATTCCATGATCGGACACAAGAGATCCAACCAACCGTGGCAACAGTTGTATACCCAAGTGGCTGAACAGTTAATGGCCTGTCTAGAAGGCAACCCTTAGAGGTTTCAAGTCAAGGTGTCTCAGCGTTTCCCATCGCTCTGTAGAGGCCACATGTTGGAGCCCTGTAGGAGCACGGCGGCACCGTGGGGTGGGCCAGCCCAGCTGGAGCGACGAAGGCGTGCAGATTGCACTTGGTCAAAGAAAGCCAGATATTGTCAAGTTGGCTCGGCGTTTTGCACCCTTTGCGGAGGCGCATGATTCTGATTCTTGTGAGCCGACAGTTGTCCATTTATTCTAGCAAGTTTCAGATCCCTGCTCCAGCAGCAAAAACGTGATAGATTGCTCTTGAATGTGGATAGGGGTCAAGCATCAGGCCAGGGCGATTCAAGGTGTAGAAGCAAGTATGTCTCAAATTTGCTCAGCGTTTGCCATCACCTTGCAGAGGTATCGTCCCCTTGTTTTTTGTTATCAGACCGTTGGCCCTGGTGGGCTGCCCAAAAGATTGCTTTCTTAATGTGGGTAGGGAGTTGGTTGCCATTGGGCATATCTCAATACCTTGAGGCAGCTGGGAGCACCGCGTGCCGGGCCAGAGTTGGAGCGATGAAGGCGCGTGCTTGAGCACGAAGTGTGCCTTCTAGATTGTCAATCAGTGTAGAAAGAAACCGCTCACTGTGAATCGCCTGGTCTACTGGTTTTAATGAGCATTATTTGGCATATTTGGACTCCTTGAGGCGGCTGGGAGCGCCACGTGCGCAACCAGAGGAGCTGGCGCGATGAAGGCGAGCGCTTCAACAAACGTATGCGGGGCGATAGCCCCTTGGAGGGGAGGGGCCGATCTATAGTTACAGCGGGCTGCTAGGCCGGGGCGACGGAAAGCAGGGAGGAAGAGAAGTCCGCAGCTGCATCCCCTTCAGGGAATTTGCCTTCATCCTTGTTCAGGGAATTTAGAGGATCCCCTTTTGTAAAAGCAGGTGGCTGGATAAGCATGCTGTTGGGAATATCGCCTGAGCTTATTTTTGTAGGGGTCTGGAGGCGTGAGGCGCGGGAAACGCGGGGAGCATGTGGCGCGCTTGATGGCATGAATGTTAGAAGGGTGATTGGTCAAAAATGGCTACCCGAAATGAAACCCTGGTACAAAGCCTGGGATCCAATTCCTGGCGGTTTCATTTTGACCCATGCCCGTGCATTTGCCATTCTCACCCACTGTTCTCTTCAGAGCCCGTTTCAACCTGGTTCCTCGGTGTATCGCGGGATGAGGACCGGCGGATTTGGCTTTGAGAAGCTGAGTTGGACCTGGGGAAGCCACGGAGTGCCACCAAAATTAGAGCCTGGTGTCGGCACCAAAAATCCACCCGTCCGAACCCCAGTTCGGGGTGTTCCCGTGTTCCAGGTGCTTGTAGTACAAATGTCGTACGCGTGTGCAAGTTGGTTCTAGAAAGTTGGCTTTTGGCAGTGTGTCAGAGCATTAATATTTGACTTCGCCTTACCCCTTGGTTTAACTCAATTTGGACACCTTCCGAAAGTAGAGCCCTGGTTGTTGTTGTTGTTGTTGTTGTTGTTGTTGTTGTTGTTGTTGTTGTTGTTGTTGTTGTTGTTGTTGTTGTTGTTGTTGTTGTTGTTGTTGTTGTTGTTGTTGTTGTTGTTGTTGTTGTTGTTGTTTGTTGTTGTTGTTGTTGTTGTTGTTGTTGTTGTTGTTGTTGTTGTTGTTGTTGTTGTTGTTGTTGTTGTTGTTGTTGTTGTTGTTGTTGTTGTTGTTGTTGTTGTTGTTGTTGTTGTTGTTGTTGTTGTTGTTGTTGTTGTTGTTGTTGTTGTTGTTGTTGTTGTTGTTGTTGTTGTTGTTGTTGTTGTTGTTGTTGTTGTTGTTGTTGTTGTTGTGTTGTTGTTGTTGTTGTTGTTGTTGTTGTTGTTGTTGTTGTTGTTGTTGTTGTTGTTGTTGTTGTTGTTGTTGTTGTTGTTGTTGTTGTTGTTGTTGTTGTTGTTGTTGTTGTTGTTGTTGTTGTTGTTGTTGTTGTTGTTGTTTGTTGTTGTTGTTGTTGTTGTTGTTGTTGTTGTTGTTGTTGTTGTTGTTGTTGTTGTTGTTGTTGTTGTTGTTGTTGTTGTTGTTGTTGTTGTTGTTGTTGTTGTTGTTGTTGTTGTTGTTGTTGTTGTTGTTGTTGTTGTTGTTGTTGTTGTTGTTGTTGTTGTTGTTGTTGTTGTTGTTGTTGTTGTCGTCGTTGTTGTTGTTGGCGGCGGCGGTGGTGGTGTCGTTTGTGCTGGTGTTCCTGTTGCTGTTGGTCGTGGTTGAGCTAGCGGTGTTGGTGGCGGGTGTGTTGCTCGCTTCCGCTGACTTGCAGGCGCCTGGTGGCTGCGCTGGGCAAGCTGCACCAAAGGATTCGTTCGGGTCGTTTGCATCCTATCTTATCCCACCATGCTAGATTTTTCAGGCGTGTTCCCGCAAGGGTTTTTGAATTCGCCGATGGAACAAAAAGCCGGCAGGAACCAGCTGGCGCCGGGGCTTTGGCCGCGCATCTTAGCCTATATCGGTGAGGCAGAGAAGCGCCAGCAAAGCAACCCCACGCGACAGGAACGGAAGATGGATATCTCAATCATGCTCCCTTATTATTTAACATGGAACCCAAAAAAGAGGTCCCAAAAATTGGAGGTTCCTCGAAAAAGAATGTTTCTTCGAGTTCTTTTTTGTACTGTTAGTTGACTGTGGGATGTTGGCGCGGTCACGTTCTGCAGATCCGACGCCAGGCGGTCGCCGAATGCGCGGACTGAGTGCGGAAGGGGCGAAGTGAGATGGAGATGGACTCAACAAGCCTTGCCTGACACGGTCAGTGCCCTCCTGTCCACTATCATGGAACCCACCAGGGGCCCTTTTGAAGGACAATGGTCTTCCAGGACCCCCCTGTGAGGTTCCATGTTAGTGGATGGGAGGGTAAAGTTTTGTTTTTGTAGGTATGTTGTTGTGTGAAAACTGGGAAGAACCTTGTGGTTTCATGTTGCCACAGTCCTATCCGAGAAAGAGATGACAGAAGTCTGGGAGTTTCCCGTCCATGGCCCAATGGCTGGTGGATGACACCAGAGACGTTCCTGTGGTAGAGGCAGAGCTGGTCCAGTTTCGACTATCCTGACGGGTTCTAATAAATGGGTTCCAGGTTGCACCAAAGAATACCAAAGGAGAATCGTGTGTGGGTTGCATCCCACCCATTTCATTTCCAGCTCTTTAAGGGCCCAAACTTGTTCACACCAGCTCAAATGCAGCTCTAAGATGCAATAGCAAGCTTATACTTAGAGCGGGAACATGCTTCCTGGCTGCAGGGTTTACATTGCATGAGCGTCACTCAACTAATCCCATGTTGCCGTGACCAGGTTTCCCGCTATCGTATTGCTTGCAAGACGGTCGCGCAAAGGCATGAGTCAACTGGCTCTTCTCCAAAGATGAGACCTCAGCATGTCATTGGAGTAGAAGAGGCATTCTTAGAGCAACCTGTCATGTGACAAGCACCCTTTTCACCAGAAACAAAAAAGTATGGTGTATGAGGTCAGAAGCATGGAGAGTGTCTTAGGGATGGGGACCCCTTTTGGGGGCTTTGAAAGGAAAAGGTCGAATCGCGCCTCATGTCCAGAGCCCACATAGCTATGAGCGAGCAGGCTCGTGCCAACAGGCGCCATGGTATCAAGGGAACAATGTATTATTGTGCTTCAAGCTGGTCGACTCACCTCACATACCACTTCATTTCAACCTGGCCGCCACGATTGAGTGGTAGCTGCTCGGGTGTTCCGCTCACGAGCTCTTGCCACGATGCAAGAGAGACGACATAAGGTCAACATGCACTACGTATTTGATTGGTTGTTTGCCAGACATCCCTGCTGTAGCTGATTGTATGTTGGTTCAAGTTGTCCATGAGTGTGTATCCTGTGTGTGTGTTTCTGGTATTCTTCAAGACATCCTGGAACAAGAGCTCGGATTTCCAGGCAGGCACCACGTGCATCAGCGAGCATCGATGGCTTCCGTTTTTATCGCCGTCGCAAACCCCGGCGCTCCGCTGAAGCTTGTCAGCGCTGTTTGCCCAGGGTTTGCTCGTAGCCAGGAATCTTGCAGAATGCCTCAAGGTTTACAGCCGGCCACTTGTCCCCCTACACGGACCCATTTGCACTCTGCGCGATCGCGGCGTTTGAAGCTTTCGCACTGCAAGGGACAGCTTCCGCTGAAGTGTGGAGGCTCCCGAAAGTCTAGGTATACAGCTTAGTGCAAGAATTTGGCAGGGGTTTTGACCCCGCCTTTCACATAGCCGAAGGAGAGAAGGCACCGGAAGGAAGACACGAGTCGGAATTCCACATGTACGTGGCTAGTGTTCAAGCTTTCCAGTTGAGGGCCACTTTTGAGGTTTGTTTCCCCCAAAACTACATCAACCTTACGCATGGCAGCTGGTACCATTTGGTTCCTTGGATATCTTTGTGGGCGGTTTGACATGGACACCTTGCATCTTCCATCGGTCTGGGGACGTCTCCATGTCTCTGCCTATCGCTTGCAGGCCCTTAAACGGGGCATGTCTAGTCTGAGTCTGTACCGGCATGAGATCACGTGGAGAGAAAACATGTGCAATGCTCCCAACATGGTGCGTCTTTTCAGCGCCACACCCATATATGTCTGAGCAGAGCAACCGATGCGGGCAGACAAATATTATTGATACGATACTTGTATATACTTGTTGGTTGCTAAGTTTATGCTGGCTGTCAGCGCTGTCCGGTCATACAAACGAATCATGGCCAATTGCCAGTCTGGTCGTGTTGGGAGTTGAAGAAGTGACAAGCCATAGAGGTCAACAAAAATGCGTGGCGATTTTGCAAGATTCCTGTTTAATCTTGAGAATTCTGTTTAAGGTTTCATTTCTGGTGGGTACCAGGATGTATGTGTGAAGGGGGCCCAACGTAGCTCCAACCATTGAAACTCAGGTCACAGGCAAGCCCTGCAGGTCAACGCCCAGTTGGAGATTGCGCGCGTGGCTGCCGAGGGAGAGGAGAAGCAGACGCTGAAGGCCGAGAATGCCTCAAAGGGGAGCCTCGAAATGGATTGACTTTGTTTTGGTTCGCTTTTAAAGCTTTTCCCTGAAAAGCCCCACCCCCATACAGACCCAGTGTCTCATAAGTGAACCCCCCCAACACCAAAAAGCAAAGAAGCAAGAAGCACAGCAAGGATTTCCTTTCAGTTCCCCTAAACTCACTCCCTGATGAGTTCCTGGACGTGAAACTTCTTGGAAAGACCTCATTTTAGTTGTAAATAAGAAAAGTCAGATTTGGTTTTGGCCAGTCCACTCAGGAAGTAAAGAGAAAGTTCAGACTTTATTTTTGACCGTTTTGGCCAGTCCACTCAGGAAGCAAAGAGAAAGTTCAGGCTTTGTTTTGGCCAGTCCACTCAGGCAGTAAGAAAACCAAGCAGAAGGCGAGTCCCCTCCCCCCAAAAAAACAACAACGAGCGAGAGACGTTCTGCCAGGTGCGGCAGGACCTGCAGCTTCGCTTTGTGGAGGTGGAAAAACGCGTGAGGGACTTCATCCAGGAGAGAAGGATGTGGCAGACACCGAAGCTTTTGGGTGTGTCGCTTGGTTTAGGGGACCCAGTTTTTGCTTTTTTGTTTGGTTTCCCCTGAAATACCAGCAAAAAAGGGGGACCCATTAAAAAAAGACACGCCATTTCGGGTGTTTGGCCCTTTTGGGTCTCCTTGTTTCTTCCCTTTCCAGCGAAACGCTCTCACTTGGGCAAAAAGTGGCCAGGTCAAGGGGGAGCTCAAAACACCTGATCGATAGTCCCAACCATTGTGGATATCCCCCAACTTTGGGTAGACCTATTTTGACTCTCACGGGCGCCCGAACTCCCGCTTGCTCCATGCTTTTTTGCTGCGGTGCCCTGGCGCGGATGGATCCTCGCCGTGTGGAAGAAGTTGGCACCCCGCTGGATGGGATTTTTCGGTACCTTTGTAAGCCTTTTAGCACCTTGGTAGAACCAACAGTCCAGTTTCAGGCGCTGCTCATGTGATTCTTTCTCGGGCCCTGTAAAACGGGGGTGGGGGTCCTTTTTGGTTTCCTTGCACAACCACAGAAGTCAGCAGGGTACGCTGAAAGCAAGGCACCCGTTTGACGGCGGTCAACAGACTTCGTTGCTTGGATTTCCTAGGGTTGGTCATGAACTGCTCAGCAGGGTTTGAGTTAGATGTAAGCTTCCCCCTTTAAGCGAAGCAGGACCACGGCCCCCACAAGGACTTTTGATCATGCCACGTAGGTCTGGCATTTGAACCTACTGTCTCGTGCATTCGTTTCCTGCCAGACTGTCACCAGCTCATCTCGCCCGACTGTTCAGAACAGGCATAATTTCCGGGGCTCAGGCGCCCAGAGTTTGGAGATGGCAGTCGTGAAGTGTGTTTCTGCGACATTGGTTTCGAGCCGGCATATTTACGCCATTCACAACTGCCGTGTGAAGCAGCTAACTCCAATGCCGTCCAATGCCCCAAAATCAACTTGGCACATGCGTCGCATGAGTAGTATATGGAAGTCAAAGGCAGCTGACAATGCATTCAAACACAAACAAAACCTTCTTGCAAGTATTCTTCTTGCTCTATGATTCGCAGCAACAACAATCTTACATGTCTCAAACATTTGCTGTTTATGCTGGTCGTTAGCCTTTAGCTACAGGATGCTGGCTCCTAGACTCTAAGTGCTGTCAGGAGTGGCGGTGCCTTGAGCAGGAGGAGCAGCGTTTGGCGGTTTTGCAGGACGGGGGCAGAATCTGAGCGCTGCTGATCTGCGCGCTCGGCTTCATTCAGCGCTCTTGCTGAATCCCACGTCTAGCTTACAGCTGAGTATTCGGCTTCAATGTGCATATTCAGAATGATTTGCCGAGCTTTGCTTTGTTTGAATACGTGTGTAATGTGAGCTGTTATTCAACGTCAGCTCGCAACTCGCAACTCAGAACATATTCTGCCAAATGGCGTAGCCATACCAAGCAGGTTCTGCCGGTCGCAAGTCACAGTATCTCAAGGCAGCAAAGCTTCATACAATTTGTCTAGAAATTGGATTTGGCATAGTTTGCTCATATAGAGGTGAACAGTTAGACGCCTGCCCAACCAGTGCATTGGTTGAGTGAATGTTTAAGCGCTCGCGCAATAGCACAGATCAAGCCACTGAGCAGTCGTTGAGCTTCTCTTGCAAGATGTGGCCTTTGGACTAAAGCAGCTGCATACCCCTTTGTGACCTGCTGAGGAGAGAAAGCAAAAGGGCTCCAGTGCAAATAAGGAAAAGTGTCTTTGAACAAGTCACAAGATGTATGACTGTTTTCAATCGTCCGGCCCATGTTCCGTGTGGTCAGTGTCCCCACTGTCTTCCTGCACACTGGTCCTTGCCCAGGTAGGTGCGCTTGCACACATTTTGTAAAGCTGACTCCAGTGGTACCTTGAGGCATTGGATGCTTACGATCTGAGTACTCTCCTGCTTGTTAATCCTAAGCGCGGGCCACATGTTTGGCACCATTCCAGGAGCATGTGGATGAGGGGCTACGTTCAGAAGCCGACGGCCGGCAGCGAGTACGGGCAGAGGCAAGCGGTTGCTGCTTTGCTGTAGACGGCCACAGCAAAATATGACTAGGTGGCGCCATGTATGCTTTCATATTTTTGCAAATTGCGGGCAGAGGCAACTAATTGGATTTTGTCAGCATCGCCTTCTTTGTTGTCAACGTTCGTATCAGGACAATGCTGCCTCAAAGGAAAGGCAGATGCCCGATGTTTTGGAGTGGTATGGGATGTTATGGGCCAATGAGTGTAATTCTTTGATTGTTGTGGCCAATGCAAATATATTAAAGTCAGATCAAGCCAGAAACCGGTATGTATTTAATGGGAGCGCTCTAAGACTAGACAGGTAAACTACAGCAGCGAGGTACGTTGTGGAAGGTGTTTTTTTCAGAATTGTCTCGCGCTTGAGCTGGTGATTTGCTCTGAAAGCTTCGTAAGCCGAAAAGGTTCAGATTCTCGTGGAGAGTCTGCGCGAGCTGGATCACCAGCCGGAGCCCCACGTATGCGGTCCGGGTTCGAAGTGAAGGCACGCCACGGGCTGCCTAAGACTCGAGTCGAAGCTGCCGAGCCTTTTGGGTGTTTCCTTTTCCGGGTTGGTTTGAAATAGAATGTGTTCCACTGATTGGTTTTAACCATTTACCGGGAAAGCCACTTCTGTTGCCAAAAGGACGCCTCGGCATGCCCAACTTGTTGCGAGTTTCAACTTGAGGCCTGCGTCTCTGCCAATGAGGAAGCCGGCAACGGTAGGTTTTTCGTAGTAACCTGGAGTGGCTGCAGAAATGGAATCCCCAAAAATGTTGCCATTGGTATATACAGACGACCTGCGGTTTGCCCCAGGTCCCTCACGTGCTCTTTGGTCGAAAGTCCCAACCTGGCTGAGGCTGGACCAACCAGAGGCATGGAACGGGACTGCAATGGAGCATATCTTGCAGGGTTCCACCTGACGCAGCAAAAACGTAGGGTTTGGCCTAAAATGGGGAAGCCCCAAAGTGGTTGGTGTCATTTTGGTGTCCCTTCACCAACCAAAAATGGGCTCCCGAAAAACCAGGTAGACTCACATGTCAGGATCGAACTCCTTTGGCCCCGACATCTATTGGCGCCCTGGGTTCGTAGGACGGTCTGAATGCCTGGAGACCACACGGAACAAGCCGATCACTGTTCCCTTGTTTGGGGGGAACCCCTTTTTGGTTGGTTTCAATGGGAAACCAGGAGGAAAACCACATATAGACACCCACAAGAGTTGTTTGTTCAAGAGTTGCGCCCTAAGGTCGTTGAGGGTGCGCATTGAGATAGCGCGGCTATATGCGATTGCAAAGATCATTCGAAGTGGCACCTTGCAGTTCCCTTATGAGATGAGGAAAAGGGGTTTGTGTTTTGAGCCAACTTCCAGGTGGACTGAAACCCAGGCGTTTTACTTGAATTCCCTTTCAGGGGCAAGCAAGCGCTCGGGGTCGAGCTTACCCTGTCCCGTCAACCGAAGGCCGACAGGCTGAAAGAGACTATACTAACGGGCTAGCAGATAGGTTTTTGTTTTAGAGTAAATGAACATGCACATTTCAAAGTCTTTAAAAAAAGCATACAGTAAGAATAATCTAAAACCCACAGTTAAAATAAATCCAACCAAACCAAATAAAATATTTTGACACTGTTAGAATATTTCAACACAAGGGTGTCTGTTATGAACAACTACTCTGCAATAAATGTCCTAGCTGCTAGCCCGTTGCTATATAAATATGTGCGGCTTTCAGGAAACCATGTGGGTCTCATGATGTTCCATTTGGGTGCGTCTTTCTTTTGAGGGTATATACCCTTTTGGGTGGCTGGCTCAAAGCAAAACCAAACGGAAACCAACCATAAGAAAGACACACGCACTTACCAGAGGAATGCCAGATTTCGGGGCGCAAAAGCTCAGGACGTGCCATGCCCCGCTCCCACGAACAGTTAGAATATTTCATATACAGCAAACTCTCCAGAGACTCAAACGGTACCGAGCCAAAAATATGCATGAACACCATTTGGGGGGGGCACAGATAGAATATTTGCTTTTGGCAAACCTTCATCAGGTGATTCATCGTATGCATAAATTACTAGATATAGAGAGTAAATATTGGATTGCATATTTTTTGAGGGTACCCCAGTATATTCCAACAAGGGGTGGCCTTCCTTTCCCTTTAACCCAACCCCAAACGGCACCGAGCCCAAAATATGCATGAAGTGACATGGAAATGGGTCCAAATCCAAATCGTACCCCAGTGAACATCCCAATCCAACCACTAAAAAAGGTTCCAAAATGGGTGGTGCACCTACCCCAAAATGGTACCATTGGTTTTGACCCCCAGCCAAATTAGTGCCTTCGAGTGAGCATGTTGGGAGGTTTGGGGCCACTAAGCAGAGTGCATGAGTTTTGTGGCTCCCAATCACTGTGGACCCAGCAGAGTTCGCCGAAGAGCGGTATCTCAAACTAGGAGCCCAAACCCGCGAGGGGCCACGCACAGTTAGAATACTTGTGTTTGGCAAAACTTCATCAGGTGATGAATCGTAGGCATAATTAAAAGATATAGAGATAGTAAATATTGATTTGTTTATTCTTTGAGGGTCCAAAAGCGTGGCCTTCCTTTCCCTTTAACCCAACCCCAAAACGGTACCGAGCCGAAACTATACATGAACACCATGCAAGGGCAGAGTTAGAATATTGTTTTTGGCCGGGAAACCTTGATTAGGCGATTAATCGTATGCGCACATAAATATATTTATATATACATAGTGGATATGGATTTGCTTAGTTTGAGGGTACTCCACTATATTCCAAAAAGGGGTGGCCTTCCTTTCCCTTTAACCCAACCCCAAACGGTACCGAGCCAAGAATACAAATGAACACCATGGGGTGGCAATGTGTGTTTTTGGGCCGAGAAATCTTCATCAAGCGATTAATCGTATGCATACATACATATATATATATATAGAGATAGGAAGTATTGGATGGCTTAATTTTTGGGGGTACCCACTACATTCCAGAAAGGGGTGGCCTTCCCCACCCCAAACAGTATCAAGCCTAAAATATACATGAACACCATGGGGTCGCACAGTTAGAATGTTTGTGCTTGGGCCAGGAAACCTTCATCATGCATTCAATCGTATGCATATATATATATATATGAGAGAGACAGTAAATATGTGTTTGCTTAGTTTTTGAGGTCACTATGTCCCAAAACGGAGTGGCCTTCCTTTCCTTTTAACCCAACCCCAAACGGTACCGAGACCAAATATGAATAAATGAGACAGTTCGAGTAATCCCAAATCTTGACATTCCTGTGCAAATCCTAAGTGGAACAGACAAATATAATAATTTGTGTCAGATACAAAAGCTGCGAGGTCTGGAAACTGACCTTTGAAAGGAGGTATTGACAATACTAAATTTACCCCTGGCAGTCCAAAGCAATTCGAGAAGTGTGTTATCAGAACAGGATTCTTTTGAAAATCTACGGCCCTTGCTGAATTATTCTATCTGATAAAGATACTAAATTTACTATTGGCAATACTAAAATTAGTACTGGCAATACTAAATTGACTATTGCGGCAAAGCTCACTATAGCTTTTTTTCGGCTCCGGCTCTCCGGCTCCGGCCCGGCTCCGGCCCGGCTCCGGCCCGTCTCCGGCTCCTTCTCTGGCTCCGGCTCCAGCACGGCTCCGGCCCAGCTCCGGCTCGGCTCCGGCCCGGCTCTGGCCCGGAAGGCTTGTGTAACCAAGATTGATACTGTTGCAAGCGAGACACTCCAGTCGCAAGCGCAAAAAATGTCACCAGCAAGAAAAAACAGACTCACAAGCGAGGTGCCACCTCTCCACCAAACCAAACACCAGAATTGGGATCGTGTCCTATTTCTTCTCCCCACCACGGACCGGGGGGTGGTTCAGCTCATCTCCATGCAACACGTTATCATTTTGGCTCAAGGCCCTTCGTGTCACACCTCAGATGTACATAACTCAGTGAGCCATTGCATCCGTGATACAAAGTTGCTAGCGGACCACTTTCAGGATAAGCCACAACACATAGTTTACCAGGGCTTATCCAGTATCAATCCGTCAGTACTGACTCTTGGAACTCTCCGGAATAGATCCAGGGCCACCACAGAAAGATCCTCTACTACCACAAGGTCTTGGTTCCTTTTGGGGATATGATACCCCTGGCAGTGGGGTTCAGGGGGGGGGTCGGGTAGGGGGTTGGTGTTTTGCTTGGCAACATCACGTGCTTGTCTGAGACAAATCCTAGAAGCAGATTGCATTCAACAAGTGCTGCATAGTGCTGCCATTGAAGACGGTGCGATCTTCGGGCTGAGCTGTCAAAACGTGGGGCGCTAGGCTTAGTATTTTTCGCTCTGAGAACTTGTTCTGGAGATTGCCTGTCTTACGTGGCTCTGCCAGGGCAAACTCATTCTCGGTTCCAAAAACAGGGTTCGGATATCGTTCACCGTGGACGGTGTTGATGATGTTGTTACTGCGTGGGTTTGCTGAGCGGCTGTGCTGATCATGACCCGCTTTCGTCCAGAAAAAAAGCAGGTTGCGCGGGTGAGTTGAGCGTCTGTGCTTCTCGTGTGCCGCTATGGGGCTCTAAATCGTCGCAAGTGAGTGAGGTAATGTCGCGGACAAAATGATGGGCGAGATGCGTATCAGTCGCAAGTTTCAGTCGCAAGCGCGCCTAGGAAGCGTACACCTGGAAAGTGCACTTGGGAAGGAGATGCGTCTAGGAAGTGCGCCTGGGAAGTACACCGAAGGAAGCGCATGACTTGGGGAAGTGCACTTAGAAAGTGCAGCTGGGAAATATACTTGGGAAGCGTGCCCAGGAAATGCACCCAGTGTACTTGGGCCTGGGACATGCACTTGGGAAGATGCCGCGCCATACTACTGGGTCTCCTTGTATACGTGACAGCTGCTTTCTCTATCGGGCTTGGCAGCCAGTATTTTCTAGCACTTGGTTGTCGTTGGTAAAACGCAATCGCAATGATTGTTGGGTGTTCAGCGCGGATGCATGGAAGATGATCCTGCTTGATGATGCGGTTACGACGTGGATGCGGGAGTGCTAATCATGCCCCCCCTTTTGTCCAGAAAGAGCAGGTTGTGTGGGTTAGTTCAGCTCATGTGCCACCATGGGGCTCTGAATCCTGCTTGTTTATTTGACAGCTAATCTTTGTATCAGGTTTGGCAACCCCAGTTGTGGCTTTGCAGGCGGGCGCATGGGGGGGTGCCATTTTGGAAATATTTTCTGGCACTTTTTGTCCATGTCGGTAAAGCGAAATCGCAATCATTGTTACGTAACTTCACTCGAAGTATCCAGGACCTCCACCGCGGATGTGCTTATCATGTCCCCCTTTTTTGTGCATGTTGGTTGAGTGGGTGTGCTTATCATGTGCCGCCATGGGGCTCTGAGCCGTCGCAAGTGAGTGAGGTGATGTGGCGGACAAAACGATGGGCGAGATGCGTATCACCACTTGCCAAGAACCTCGCGTGGCTCGCACGGTTCAGTTTTGCAAGCGAGAGAGTCGCTTGTGTCGCAAGCAAGTGCTTCTCCATGTCGGAAGGCAGCAAAAAAAAGGGACTCAGCTGCGCGCGGATTCATGTCAGCTTCGGCACTGCAGGCGCCAGGTCATTCCTCCTTGATGCCGCGCCATACTGCTGGGTCTCCTTGTTTCTGTGGTAGCTGCTTTATTGCTGGGGGCGCGCTTCGCCCTAGACTCCGTGTAGACTCCGCCCGCTTTTGCCGCTTGCAGACTGCAACACAGACAGCAACCAACCGGCGCGCTCTCCTCCTTAATAGGCCGTAAACTGCCTGGCTGGCCTCCTGCCCCATGCACGTTTGCCAGGCCAGGAGCCACAGCTAGGCGGGTCACCTTCGCTTGAGCTGCGGCCGGTCACGATTGGCAATTCTCGTCTTTTGCAAGGATGTCAAGCCTGTTGCCAGACGCAAGCAGCTGTGCGCGGCGCCTGACTGGGAGAGATGCATACAAACATGCGTTCCTTCGAAAGCAGCAATTTACATGGTTGAAAAGCTGGACACAGAAAAAAGAATGAACCTGGTCTTTCAAGCATCATGGGCTCGTACCAACTCCAAATAGCTTCGGCGATCTTCTCCAAGGGCCAACTCGACAACGCCGCGAGGCGCTCCTTCACATCTGCAGTGGCCTCGCCAGCGCGACACCAAAGAATCTTCCTGGCCCAGGCTTGTGGAAGCTGCTGTCGTGCTCTCACACGCACACCGAGGCCCAAGAGCCGCATCAAGACCGCTTCCCCCTGGAAGAAGGCGATGCAGCAACATGCGGTATCTCCATCGTCGGAGCCAGGAGCCGGCCACAGCAAACTTCTTGTACGACTGGTGCGGCTTATCCACGCGCTTTGCCTTCCTGGCGCCTGCGGCGAGTCAAAATCTCTTGGTGGATGAGCAATGTTGGTGCTAGACACATGCCAGGCGGTGAGTGTCTCAGGTTCTGCCACGACTGCCATTGCACAGCAGACACTGGCAGTCCGGGCAAGCAGTTCTCTTGCTGGACACAACCAGGTGCTCCGGCGGCATGACAGCAAAGTCAAACCATACCACGTCTTGTCACGTGCGGTTGACTCGGCCAAGCGCAGGTTCCGCCGCATCTGAAGGCTGCGCGCTCTTCTCGTGAAACAGTGCCCGGCATCGCGATACTTCTCGGATGCTGATTTTGGCGTACTGCGCGCACTCGTTAGGGACGTTGTAGAGGTCGACCACCTTGGACAAGCGCAACTTGTTGCTCCTTGCGCATCAGCCCTGTGCGGCAAAGGCATGTTGCCTGTTGCGCCCAGGCCTCGCTGGAAAAAAGGATGGTCGGCCGCAAGCTGGCTGAAGCGCAGCGGGGCTGTCTCTTCCAAGGCATCGTCCGCAGAAGAAGGATCCTGAGCACAGGGTTCGCGACCAACTAACCAGCTAGGTGTCTAGGTGTCTAGGATTGCGGCGCTATGTTAAACTTGGCGGTCGCACTTGAGAGTCTGTTGCCGAGACAGTTACCTGACGACAAGGGGGCTTAAGAATACACACACACAGACACACTAACACACAGGCCAAACACATAATTGCCTAGTTTCCGCAGGAACTTTGGGCACTGGCCCGCCTGGTCAGGCTGCTGGCCGCGGAGGCCTTGTCTGTGTGCGGGTAGCAGCCAAAAAGGTGCTAGGAGCCTCGCATGGGAATGGCGTGCGTCGCCTCCTGCTCAGAGTTGCCCAAGTCTGCGCCGAGGGCTTTCCGGAAAAATGGTGCGGACCTGTAAGTTAGTTTCGGTGCGGCAACTGGGCCTGTGCGAGCACGCGTGCAAGGAAGACAGCCTGGGTTTGGGCGCACGCCCAGCCTGCACGTGCTCTGCGGTCATTTGACCTTCGGCTACTTTGTTTCCTCGGCGCGGGTTTAAAGGAGGTCAAGCGCTCGAAGGCGATTTCGAGCGCACCGTTTTCATCCCAGGCAGTGTCTATCTCCACAGCGCAAGACAGTTTGTTAGCTTGCCTTGTCTAGCAAGCACAGTTTCTAAACTTTTGTTTTGGCTGCGTGGGCTTCTGGCTTGGGACTTGCTTGCCTGTCCCGTCTTGGCTCAGAGATGCTCTGCTTCAAGGTTGACTGCCGTCGCGCCATACCAGTTCGGTCCCTGTGGTTTGCGATTTGCTTTCCAACTTAGCTAGCCCGGATATCAGCAATCGTGCCTGTTGGCTGGATGGTTGGCTTCTTTTTGTGGCTGAGGTGCGCCTGCCTCCGTGCGCACCGAATTCAGAATCTCGGCACGGTGGTCTCTGGCGGATCCAACTCCTCACATCAAAGCCGGCGCGGAGAAGGTGTGTCAGCATTTCCGCGGACGCCCGCACGCGGTGCTGGAGCTTGAGCCTGAAGCTCGAAGCCTCTTGCTTGGCCCCTCGTCCGCATTTTCGGCGTGACTTTCGCGTTTGGTCCAGTGACAGGGAAGCGTACCTGAAACAGGGGTCCGCAGCCTGGTGTTGGGATTTGAGCCTTGGTTCTTGTCGAAAGTAATAAGGCACCCACACCCCCGAAACGCTTCCAAACCACCAAGGCGCCGCCTGTGACAAAGAATGTCGTTGCTTCTCGGTTTATTGGCAAACCGATGCTCCGTTCAACAGGGCGGGTAAGTAAGCGTGATATTCGCGACTGAGACACGCGGCAAAACTTCTCCTGAACAAAACGCACCGCGTTGCGCTTCACAGCACCCACTTCTTTGGCGATTCAGCGCGGGCTAGGCGCGCCTTCTGCCAGCTTGTTATTACGTGGGTAACATCATACCTGTGTGACATCAGTTCACTAGAGCTCCCACTTGCGGCACAGTAGACACCGCCTCTCCACATTGAGCAAGTCGGGTTGAAAGCGAAAACGGTGTGCTTGACATCGCTTTGTGCGCCTAGGTTTCCGATTCATCCCGTGCCGAGGAAACCAAGTCGCTCAATCGGTGAGGGCTCAGACGGCCGACGCGCCCGGTGTGGAGGCCATGCACGCGGGCGCCGCAGCACTGCAAGGTCAAGTAGCAGCTGCTGTGGCTATCCTTGATCTGGCCGCAGGTGGGGGCTCCTTTGATGCCACTGGGCAACTCCTCATCACCGCAGAGCACGTGCAGGCAGGGTGTGCGCCCAAAATCAACGGCGACCCTGCGATGTTGGGCTTCTTCCTTGCTGCGCGCTCGCGCAGGTTGGCAGTCGCCTCGTCGAGATTAACTTGCAGGTCCGCACCATTTTCCGGAAAGCCCTCGGCGCAGACTTGAGCGACTCAGAGCAGGAGGCGACGCACGCCATTCCCACGCGGGGTGCTTATGCTCCCAGCACCTTTGCGGCTGCTGCCCCCACACAGACTATGCATCCGCAGCCAGTGCCGCGCGTGGCAGTTGCGCAGCCGGACCAGGCGGACGACGTGCCAGTGCCCGAAGTTCCTGCGGAAACTAGGCAACCAACGTGTTGCTTGTGTGTGTGCGTGTATTTTTCACCCCCTAGGAGTTAGGTGACTGTTTCGGCAAGACCGCCAAGTTTTAACATAGCACCGCAATCCTAGACACCTAGACACCTAGCTGGTTAGTTGGTCGCGAACCCTGTGCTCAGGATCCTTCTTCTGCGGACGATGCCTTGGAAGAGACAGCCCCGCTGCGCTTCAGCCAGCTTGCGGCCGACCATCCTTTTTTCCAGCGAGGCCTGGGCGCAACAGGCAACATGCTTTTGCCGCAGGGAATGCAGGACCGGGCGCTGATGCGCAAGCTGCTGCTTTACGGGAGCAACAAGTTGCGCTTGTCCAAGGTGGTCGACCTCTACAACGTGGTGGAGGTTACGGGCTCCGGCACTTCCAAGCGCAAGAAGAAGCTGAGGCCGAGCACGACTCAGGCCAGCCTAAACACAAAGGATGCGTAGGTTCAGCGCAGAGTTCACGTTGGGCATGTTGGTTTAGACCCCTCACTAGTAGTGCAAGTGGTACGCAGAGTAGTGCGGGGGAAACGATGTGGCTCACGAAAAGCGTCGCGTTTTCAAAGGGACAATGATGGATAACTTGAACTTTGGGCTGTGCTTGCGGAAACCTAGAACCCTCATGTTCCAGGTGAAGAAGCTTCTGACAGAAGCCTTTGAGCAGTTCCCGCGTCTGGGCTCCATAAATACGCGCGTGAAGGATGGCATCATCGAACTTCGTGGGTGGTCGAGCGCGCGGGCCAACCAAATCTTGTTCCATAACGAGTGCATGCAGTGCGCCAAAATTAGCATCCGAGAAGTGTCGCGACGCCGGGCACTGTTTCACGAGAAGAGTGCGCAGCCTTCAGATGGCCAGGCCCGCGGCGTCCTTGTGGCTGAGGCGGCGGAAGCTCCGGAGGAGCCGGCGCCGGCCACGCCTGCTCTCGGCCGTGATGCTGTCTAGAGCTGCTGCAGCTTTGGTTTTTGGGGCATGCGCAGCAGGACCGTTTTCAATGTCAACACTTGTATGTCATCGCTTATGAGCCAGTGTATCGCTTCTAGTTTCCTTTAATCCTGCGCAGTTGCCCTCGACCTGCCAAGTTACAGGCTATTTGGTCAGACTCAACATTCTCCCTTTGCGCTGAGCCGCGAAAACGAAGCCGACCCAGACAGCAGACAGCTCTCTTTTCAGGATTTGTTTCCACTGTTTTGCGCAAGCAGATTTGCAGAGCGGCGCTGGGCATCAAGGTCATACAAAGTTTCTTCCAGAACCCATGTTTATGTGCTGCACGAAGCTTTCCTCGCTCTGCACTTGGCCTAGTCAACCACACGTGACAAGACGTGGTTTCACCCTGCTCATGGTTTGACTTTGCTGTCATGCCGCCGGAGCACCTGGTTCTGTCCAGCAAGAGAACTGCTTGCCCGGACTGCCAGTGTCCACTGAGCAAGTGCCCACTCAGGCCGCGGCAACGAGGTGCTGTGCAATGTCAGGTCGTGGCAGAACCTGAGACACTCAGCGCCTGGCATGTGTCTAGCACCTGCCAACGCTGCTCATCCACCAAGAGATTTTGGTGCGGGTTTGTGGAACTCGTCACAGGCGCCAGGAAGACAAAGCACGTGGATATGCCGCACCAGTCGTTCTTCTTTTTGAACAAGAAGTTCGCTGTGGCTGGCTCCTGGCTCCGACGATGGAGATACCGCATGCCTCCTTCCAGGGGGAAGCGGTCTTGATGCGGCTCTTGGACCCCGGTGTGCGTGTGAGAGCGCGACAGCAGCTTCCACAAGCCTGGGCCAGGGAGACAATGTGGCGTCGCGCTGGCGAGGCTGCTGCAGATGTGAAGGAGCGCCTCGCGGCCCAGTTGTTGAGTTGGCCCTTGGAGAAGATGATCGAAGCTAATTGGAGTTGGTACGAGCCCATGATGTTTGAAAGGCCAGGTTCATTCCTTTTTCTGTGTCCAGCTTTTCAACTATGTAAAGGGCTGCTTTCGAAGGAACGCATGTTTGCATGCGTCCCTCCCAGTCAGGCGCCGCGAGCAGCTGCTTGCGTCTGGCAACAGGCTTGACATCCTGGCGATAGACGGCAACTGCAAACTTCATCGCCGCACATGCGGCATGCCCTTCGCTGAGGTTGTTCCTTCCCCCCACGTTGGCAAGCTCCTCCTACGAGGATGCAGTCAGCGACCGCACGGGGCGGATACCTTGTGCTGCGTGCACGCTGCCGATCGTGATCTGCCCGGCCGTCCCTGCCACGGTGAGATTGGGAGCCACCGGCTCAAGCGAGCTCTACACGCTGAAGGTGACGTGTGCCACCTCGAGGTCCGGCTGGCTGGCTTTGGCTCCTGGCAGCCAGCGTGTACGGTGGGGCAGGAGATGCTCGCCCGGTACTTTGCGAACTTGGCGGACGCAAACATTCGAAGGAGGCGAACTAGCCAAGTTGCTTTTGCTGGGTGGGGGGGCCGGTTAGTTGCCCCTGCAGGCGGCAAAAGCGGGTGGAGTCTCGGGCGAAAAAGTGGATCGGGATGCGGCCTCGAAGAAGAACCTTCTTGGCTCCGTGGTCCTCTGCGCGCGCCCGGCAAGAAAGCAGCTGTCAAACGCACAAGGAGACCGAGCAGCATGTCACGGCAGCTGCCCGAACCGCCGGCTTCTTGCTTGCTGTGAGTGAGGGAGGACTGACCTTGCGCCTCGCAGTGCTAGGTTGACATAAAAATGTGCTGTTTCCTGCGCCGCGGGTTTTTTTGTCATTCCAGGACTTGTGGCTGACTGCAACGAAGTGATAGCTGCTGAGTCCCTTTCTCAAAGATATCACTTCCTCGCAAAGGTCGCGTCCCGGCTCAACAGCCTGCAGATAGTGGTCCACGACGATGCGTGCCACCTGCGGCTTTTTTGCGCCCAGCACCGGCTGGCCTCCGACATTGCTGGTCGGCTCTCCAACATGTCGTTCATTGTGGACCGTTTTCATGCGACTGGGCACAAGGGAGTCTTCTGCCGCAACCATTGCCTTCCTACGTCTCAAAACAATGAGCTTCTGCTGGGCAACTTCCCGACCGATATTGCGGAGTCTGTCAACGCTTTGTACAGTCCGCTGGGGCACACTATCCATCACATGAATAAGCATTTCGCCCAGTTGGTTGTACAGGAATGCACCGATGTCCACAACCTTGCTCGCCTGCAAAGCATACGAGACAAGCAGCGAGCCAGCGCTAAGAAGCGCCGCCTGAGCCAGGCATAGTGGGCGGACCAGTGCTGCTTCCCCAGTCCAACTAGCCCAACTAGCCCTGGAGAAAAAGAAGTAAGCTCTCACGCAACCCAGACGCCCGCAGCAATGTCCTTCCAGACGCCTCTTTCGAATCCTTTGCGCTAGCTGAGAAACTAGAGGATGATTGGCCCGAAGGTATGTTGCCGCCGTGCTCGCTCAAGCCCCCGTTTTTTCCCACCACGACAGTAGCAAGTCCCCCATAAACAGCGTGTTCCGCAGAATGATCCAAGAATCTGCAGACTTGGCCCTGTGCAAGTGCAGCTTTGCAAGTATACTGCGCAGTGTTGCGCTGCAAAATGCTGCCTGCAACTGCTGCCGAGGACCGTGGGGGTTCACCCGCGGACGGCAACCGTGACAAGCTCTTATAGAGTTTTTGCACACCATGCAGATGCTGCCGCCGGGCGCCGCTAGAACGTCTGCAGCTTTTTGACACGCATCCGTGCATCTTTGATGATGGTTGCGCTCAGGCCGCCGAAGTGGCAAAGGGTTTTGCTCTTTTACACATCGACCACGTGCAGTTTGCGCAGAGCTAACTTACCTCGCGCAGAGCAAGCTTGCCCAGGGTCGCACAGAGCCACTTGCGCAGAGCAACTTGCGCAGAGCCAGAGGCGCAGAGCCATATGTCTGCGTGATTCCAGCGATGCTTTCCGCGCCTGTCAGGCAAGAGTCTGTTCACCTCTGGCGTTGTGCGTTTGCAAGACACTTGGCAGGATATTTTGTCCGCAAGAGAAGGCGTAGTCAAACTTGCGCTGTCAGCTTGGCTGCCTTTTTGCAATAAACAGTATATAATGTTAGGTAACTTGAAAAGATGAGAGTCAAAAGGCTTATGCTGCAACGCGTTTTTTTATTTCGAGACATAGTACGGAGCAGGAAGATACATGTGCGCAACATGAAAGTACAAGGATTGCGCTTGAAGCGTTACGAAATCTGAAGTCTGAGCTATGCAGAAGAAGAGATTTCGCAGTCATGATATTGTGACATTTGTTTGCTTGGTACGTTTTTGGTGTGAGTGCCCCTACAAGGCCACTGTTGCCACTTTCAGCATGTCACCGGGGTTGGGGTGGGAGGGGGGGGTGGGTGTGGGGGCGGATGATCTGGACATGGCTGACGCTTCGTGATTTTACAAGCACGCATGGATCAAGCACAGCTTAGGGCAGTTTGTCCTGAAGCGCGAATGCAAGCGCTCCGGTGGAACGCAGCAGTTAGACCGTCAGTGCTAAGTCACATGACTACCTGCCAAAAAGGCCGCGTCACAGAAGACATGATGTGGCAGCTTTTGTATGCATAGATGCATCGTAGATGCCACCTGTTTGGCAGGCTGGGTACGCCGCAGAGCAAACCGAAGAGCATATTCGCCCCACTACACTTGCACAAACTTCAACCTGCTCAGTGTTGCGCAATAAAATGATCTTCAGAGTAATGGTAAATAAGTGCGCAGTTTGCAGCGAAGCCGCAAAAGTCGAGGCTTCCATGGGTCAAACTCACAGCTGGAGCCAAGCCAAAGACATGACGGCAACTGCCGGGAAAGTTTCTCTGTACGCTTGAAAAGCCAGCCCCAGTGCCTGATTCCAGCAAAACCAGGAACCTTGTTTTGGTGGGTTCATTGCAATAGCTGCGTGCGCTGAAAGTTCGCTTTGCATGCTCAAATTTTGCACCGCGCCACAGCGAGAGATTTTGCGCAAGCCTGTGCAGTCGAAACGCACTTCGACATCATGCAACATCACGATTTGCGGTATCTACCACGAGCCTGCGTAGTCGAAACGCACTTCGACATCATACAACATCACGATTTCACAGTGACTGCCACGCAAAAAGCTCGCGGCCACACTCGCGGGCCACATTTTGTGCGAGCCTGCGCAGTCGAAGCGCACTTCGACATCATACGACATCACGATTTTGCAGTAAATACGAACCAAAATGCTCCCAGCCAATAAACTTGCGGGCCGACTTTTTGCGCGAGCCTGCCGAGTCGAAACGCAATGCGACATCATGCGACATCACGATGTTGCGGTGAGTGCCACGCAATTCTCGCAGTCAGACTCGCCAGCGCAGTCGAAACGCACATCGACGTCACATAACATCACAATTTTGTGGTCACTACCACGCGAAATGCTCGCGGCCAGACTCGGGCCTCAGTTTGCGCGAGCCTGCACAGTCGAAGCGCACTTTGACATCATACGACATCACGATTCTTCAGTAGATACGGCTCCCAGCCAAGCGCCGGGCCTTCACTCCTACCGCAAGGCGCACTGTTTCGGGAGTGAACATACACGTGTTATTCGTTTTCACTGATTTCGAGGCAGTGAAACGGTCTTCTTGAGCAATGACTTTGCTATTTCAGTGTTTGGTACTTTTCACACTCATGAAAGCAATATTATATGTTCGTGTGTGTGTGTGCTTGTTAAAGCTTAGGGGTTGGAACATACACAGTATGGACAACAATTGAAGTTTTGCCAGCTCCGCAAACTGGCTGGCTGTGGCCAACCACTCTGGCCAGGCTCTGGCTCTCACTCCACGGCTCCGGCCCGGCTCCGGCTCCAACTCCCGCTCCGGCCGGCTCTAAACTTCGGAGCGTAGGCGGAGCCGGCGCCAGCCGTCCGCCATCTCACACCGGGCCCGGCCCCGGCTCCGGCCCGGCCCCGGCTCCGGCCCATCCGCCCCGCTCTGACTCTGGCCCGGCCCGTGGCGCTCACTCCGCTCCGCTCTGGCCCGGCCCGTCCCCGGCTCCCGCCCCGCTCTGGCTCTGGCCCGGCTCCGGCCCGGCCCCGGCTCCGGCCCGCTTCCGCCCCGCTCTGGCTCTGGCCCAGCTCCGGCCCGGCCCAGCCTCAGCTCCCGCTTCCGCCCCGCTCTGGCTCTGGCCCGGCTCCGGCCCGGCTCCGGCCCGGCCCCGGCTCCAACCCGGCTCTGCTCTCACTCCGCTCGGCTCCGGCCCGGCTCCGGCCCGGCTCCGGCCCGGCTCCGGCCCGGCTCCGGCCCAGGACAAAAAAAAGCATTCCCCGCAAAGCTACCCCCTCTTCTCGCAGCCAAAAAACCTTCCAGGAATCGTTTTTAAACAAGGAATTTTACAGCTCACATCCTTGCTAAAATGTACTAGGTTTGGCATTGGCAATGCAAAGTTTATATATTGGCAATGCTAAATTCAGTACCGGCAATAGCAAGAATGTTCTGCCAATACTAAATTTACTATTGGCAATGCTAAAATTATGGTGGCGACACCGTAGTACTGACAACATAAATGTACTATTCTCAAACTTGTACCGGCAATGCTGAATTAAGTACCGGCAATGCTAAAATTAGTCCTGGCTCGGAGGACCTGATTTTACCGCCCGCGTGCAACTCCAAAGTTTCAACCTTTGAGCTTTTCATGAAAGCGTTCGAGCCCCCCCCCCCCCCCCAAGCCAAAAGCCCTTCACTAGATTTAGTATTGGCGATACTAATTTAAGATATTGGTAATGCTAATTTAAGTTCTGGCAATACTAATTTAGTCCTGGCAGTCTAAAACATTGGAGAAGTGTGTTGTTATTGCAACAGGATTCTTTTGAAATATTCTGTCTGTCAAAACATATTCTATCTGCTGGCCACCTGAAAGGGTGTTCAAATTTGAAGGATTTGCGCAAATGTGAATTATTCCAAGTGTCACATGTGCTCCGAACATATATTCTAACAGTATTACACATTCTAACTGTGTTTTAGGAGTAAACAAAATCTAACTTAGGAGCTGACGGAGCGAACCATATTCTATCTGCTAGCCCGATACTATAACTTGTCGCGGGTGTGGCTCAATTAGCATGACATGAGCACGTGTGACATGTGAAGGCCAACCGATTCCGCTGCTTCCGCTGCACTTTGCTTGCATCATTTGCACTCCCTCGCCGCAGGCAAGCTTGTAGCTTGCATTTGCTGAGCTCTTCCAAGAAGAGCCGCAGAGAGTAGCTTCCGGTTCCAGGAAAGAGCTTTTGCAGCCCGCCTTAATCTATCAGATGATACGAGAGTCTCAATGAGGCTCTTTCTTTCTCTGCTTAGTCCAAGAGAGGCGCACAGAAGGCTTCAAAGCCCGGCATCGATCTGGCACAGCGGGAAAGCTGCGACTGGCAAGCATCAATGACTCGCGTGTAGTGATGTCCAAAGGAATCCTTCAGGATGCGGGTGTGTCTTTGTTGAGGGACCCCCCAAATTGGTTGTCCCTTTGGTGTCCATTTGAAACTGACCAAAAATGGGGTCCCTCAAACAAAAGACGAGCCACCCATGTCTTCCGGTTGCGCCCAGTGTGTTGAGCGCGGAACGATGAATCAGGCTCAAGGATGTGTTGAAGGACTAGTCCCGTTTGAAAGGTTGCGATGCAAAGAACACTGTGAAGCAGAGATACCACAACATGATTGACTTTGCCTTCCTTCGCGTTCGCTGTTTCAGTAGCAACTAGGCTGATGGAATCCAAAGAGTTTGAAACAGTTTGTAATCACAGACATTCCTGGTGTTTCGTCGCCATGCCACGCCTGCTCAACGATTTAGCGCATGGGATTTCCTGGTGCTTTGGCTGAGAGAGACAGAGACAGAGACAGAGACAGAGACAGACAGACAGACAGACAGACAGACAGACAGACAGACAGACAGACAGACAGACAGACAGACAAAGCGAGAGAGGGAGAGAGAGCGAGCGAGCGATGTGGCTGGGTGTGGCTGGGTGTGGCTGAGTGTGGGTGTGGCTGGGTGTGGGTGGCTGGGTGGGGTGTGGCTGGGTGTGGGTGGGAGAGTGTGGTGGGCGTGGGCGGGTGGGTGGGTGTGGTGGGGGTGGGCGGACGGCGAGGGAGGGAGGCAGGGAGGGGGGAGATTGTTTGTTTGAATAGCAATAGTTCAGTTGTTGGGCATGGTCTGAAGTCTATCAAGCCAGTACCTTTGATGCAAAAGTGGTCCCCAGGCCGCCAGACTTATGGTTTTGGCAGCATTCACCATTGTTGTCCTGTGGCTTCATCCCTTCAAGCCTTCCACGAGCCTTCCAACATCAGGAACTTAAGGAATTGTCAGAGGCAGACACTGGCAGACACTCCAATGTGATCATAAATCCCCGTGTTAGTAGTGTCCGCCGAAGGTGCCCAAATCAAGCTTTACTCTCAAATTGAGTATCCTTGAATTCTATGCGAAACGAATTGATTTTGGGACCCAGACACCCAAGGCTAGAGCAGCCTCAGTGCGGAGCCCGCGCCAGCTCAAGGCAGTGGCGGGGGGAGAGAAGGAGAAAAGGCAAGGGGGGAAAGAGCATTCTTCAGCATCAACCACGCATCAAGCCCTTTGTTCATTGCTTGAAGAGGTACTTTGCCCACTTCAGGCCCCACTACCAATAAGAGGATGGCCTGAAAGCTTGAGTCAAAGAGTACGCAAGCAGAGGTCGTATACTTCGGCTCTGAAGTTGCAGCCGTGTAAATTCAAGGCATGGGCTTGCTTTTGGAGAGTTCCTGGCGCAGCGGAGACCGATTCCACTTGGGCGGATAAGGCCGGAGAAAGTTCGAGGCACTTGGCCTCGCAGAAAAAAAAAAAAAAAACAGCCATGGCGATGGGTCCAAAGCCCGGTTAGCCCCCAGTGAACATCCGATTCAATCCAACCACTAAAATAGGTGGTGAATTCACCTACCAACCAAAATGGGATCCCAAAACAGCTTTGACAGCCACAGCCACATAGCTGCCACCCTCGCCATGCGGCATGCCGTTGGCCGCCTGGTGCTGGCGCTTTACACGGCTCGGGCATTTGATGTGAGCGCGTGCGGGGAGCCGCAGGCCTTGTGGCGATATTTTCGGAAGCTGCTGGAAATCCCGCGGTGCACCGAGAACGAGCGAGCAGTGCTGGACTACATTGCCGATGTTGCCAAGCATGCAGGGCTGTCAAGTCGATTTAATCAGGGGAACCTGGTTGTGTCAAAGCCATCCGGCGACTCCGGAGAGCCCGTTATCATCCAAGCACACGTGGACATGGTCTGTGAGAAACATGCTGAGTCTTCCCACGACTTCACAAGTGACGGTACCTCAGCTCTTCGATGTGTTTATCATTTGTTGCAGTGTTGCATTCTTTGACAACTGCCCAGAACAAATCCTGCTAACATCAAGCGATGTTGGTGGGCTGCTGCGTTTGACGCATTAATTTTTCCCCTGCAGTTCTCTCGGTGAGGCATCCAGGCCGTGTTGAGCTCGGGGTGGTTGAGCGCTCCCAACACGACCTTGGGGGCGGACAATGGCATAGGAGTGGCAACAGCCCTGAGCCTGATGCAACACTCAGGGCGAATCTCGGTTTTGTGTTCTTGACTGCTTTTGGGTTGGATCTTTAGACTTTAACTTTTTGGTTGAAAAAGAAGGTGTTTTCCACTAAACCCCCGAACAAGTGTTGAACTTTTTGCAGGGGGGTCAACAGCAACCAAGTGTTGGACCAAAACCCAACGGACATGGAGGTGCACAGACCCCCCTGCCCCTGGAAGACCAGATTCCATTTGGACAATGGTGAGGGTAGCCTTTTTGAGTCCTTGGAACACTGCAATTTCCCACAAAGCATTTGGCTCATTTGAACCTAGGATTGCCCCCGCTGGAGTTCGTGTTCACCATTCAAGAGGAGAAATCGCTGGATGGGGCCAGAGCCATTGATGCAAAGGCCTTGCGAAGCAAGCGGCTGCTGAACTTTGATTCGGAAGAGTCCGGGCCCCGGGCCCCGTTTTTTTTTCAAACCCTTTGTCCCACAAGGAATGAGAAAGGGAATGTTTTCGTTGTTTCTTAACAGCTCTTGATACCGAGAAGCAAGTGGTTCTGCGAACCGAGAGATGTTACCTGCGGTCCAAGGTTTCCGATTTGGGAACTCACTGCCGTGGGGAAACCCACCTTGAGAACGCATTCAACTTACTGGTCATTTGCACGTGGCTTCTCAGGTGGGGAATTCTTTACATGGGCTGCGCGGGGGGCGCCGTAGACGTGCTTGAAGCGAAGATGGCTCGGGTGCTGGCTCCTCCATGGCAGGCAGTGGAGCTGGTGGTGGATGGTCTGGCAGGGGGTCACTCCGGTGCTGACATCCACTTGGGCCGCGGCAACGCATTGAAGGTGGCAGCTCAAGCCACTGCAGCGATGGTGCGGATCCTCAGCTGAAGGTCGTGGGGCCCAACATTGACCTTGCGCCACTGCGTGATGCGATTGTTCCAGTTGCACAGTCGCTTTCAAGGAGGCATTTCATTCATTTTGAGCTCAGGCAAGGAGCAAAAGTGGAGAGCTTTGATGGAGGGGATGCTGACAATGCAATTCCAAGAAGGGCCGTGGTAACACTGGCCATGCCAGCAATCATGGAGAAAGCCAAAGCAAGCATGGCGGCTCCTCGGTATCAAGACGTATTTGAGGGGGCCCGGGATGTGCAGTTTTGCCTTTAGATCATCCCTCCCCACTCTCTCTCTCTCTCTTTGCGATGTTTTTGGGGAGCTCTCCATACTGTAAGGGTGTGTCTTTTTTGAGGGTGCCCTTTCTTAGCTGGGTTTCCCAAAGAAAAGCCACCATTTTGGGGGGGTCCCACCTTTAAATTATCCCGGCAAGAGACCCCAAATAGTAGCGCGATGCAGCAAGAAACCACCATAAAACAAAACATCTTGGGAGTGCTCTTCGCGTACTACTTTTGTACTTAAAGCCTCCGATTTTTGGGCCGGAGCTGCGGGAGCGCGCTTCGCGTACTACTTTTTGTACTTCAAACTTGCAAATTTCGTGCCGAAACTGCGGATGCGCACTTCGCGTACCACTTTTGCGCTGAGAAGTTGCGATATTGCAGCCGGAGCCCTGGGAATGCTCTTTTCGTAATTACAAGTTGCTGTTTTCAAGCCGGAGCTGTCGTGGGCCAAGCAGGTGGAACCCGAGACAGCGCGCGAGCGTGAAAGCAGAGGTGCAAACCACGAGGCAACTTCCAAACACCGCTTCGCAAGCAAAGAAAACAGAAAAACCGAACGGCGCCACAGCGAGAGCGCTTCGACATGCAGGATCTCCGCAAAGGGTTCGCCGAGAGCAAGACGCATTCGCACGGCGCCACAGCGAGAGCGCTTCGACACGCAGGATCTCCGCAGAGGGTTCGCCGAGAGCAAGACACATTCGCACGGCGCCACAGCGAGAGCGTTTCGACACGCAGGATTTACGCAAAGGGTTCACCACGAGTAGGACAAATTCGCACGGCACCACAGCGAGAGCGCTTCGACACGCACAATCTCCGCAGAGGGTTCGCCGAGAGCAAGACACATTCGCACGGCGCCACAGCGAGAGCGCTTCGACACGCGCAATCTCCGCAGAGGGTTCGCCGAGCTCAAGACACATTCGCACGGCGCCACAGCGAGAGCGCCTCGACACGCACAATCTTCGCAGAGGGTTCGCCGAGCTCAAGACAAGTTCGCACGGCGCCACAGCGAGAGCGCTTCGACACGCACGATCTCCGCAAAAGGTTCACTTTCGTCTTGCAACGCTTGCAAATGAGCGAAACGCTGCGCCTGCCACGAAATTCACAGACCCTGTTTCCGAAAATGCTGCGCCTGCCACGCATCATGTGCATCAGCGCAAAACATGCTGCGCCCAGCACGAAAAATGCACGGCAGTCTCACAGAATGCTGCGCTGGCCATGGAATTCTGCGGCAACACACAAATGCGAAGATCGGCGCGGCGCCACAGCGAGAGCGCAGTTTTGAAGAAAGGTCCGTTTCGCGCGAAGGTGTCGCACGCGAGACAACTTTTTTCAACAACTGCCATGGCTTTAGAGCTCCGATTGTCCAAGCGGGGTAGCCTGACCCGACAAAGAAGATATCACCGCGTGGCGGCCCTGCCATCAAAAAACGCACTTTGGTCTCAAACAACGCGTTTGGCACGAGGCTTCCTCAAAAAACACACCCCGCGTCGCAGCGCGAACCTCCGTGTGACACGCCCCTGCCAGCAAAAAATGCATTTTGCTTCAAAAAAACACGTTTGGCACGAGGCTTCTAGCGCGTACCTCCCAACTGTTGCCCCTGCCAGCAAAAGCTGAAAAGTGCGAACGGCACCACAGCGAGACGCACGCAAAGGTCCGCACCTCCATTTCGTGCGAGACTGTCGCATCGAAGACAACTTTTTACGCACAGGGCCAGCAATTTGAGCCGACACCTCGATCTACACCAGGCCTTAACTCTTACCGTAAGAACCCCTTAGTGTAAACACTATTTGGGGAAAAAACGGGACTACCCATAAATGGTGGTGTTGGCGCGCCAGGAGTTGCAGGCGGAGCTTCTTGCCAAGTTGCCAGCGGCGGACGCGGGCCTCAAGCTGACGCTTCGGGAGCTAGAGAGAAAACCCAAAGATGTGCTGGAGGAAGCCAGTCAGAAGCTCCTGCTCGAGCTCTTGGAGGTTTGTCTCCTCCACCCTGCACCCCCCCCCCCTTGGGGAGAGCAAAAAGTGGGCTCCAACCAATAGAGGCTTGTTTGGAGGCATTTAATTTGTCTCCTGAATCAGAGACATGGGGATTGACATGAGCGGTTTACATGACCAACCATTCTTTGAGGGTGTTCCAACCAAAGTTCACAGCCATAGGACCCCCAGTTTCCTTGTGGGATGCCTTAACAACCCGACCACATGAGGGTTTTCCAAGAAAAAGATCGGTTTATTTTCAAAATGGTTTGTTTCCGTTCATTACAGTGACTTTGGCTCCACTATGCCTGCCCCAGGCCCTCCATCACGGCCCTGTGAAGTTTTCTGCCGACGTGCCTGGCCTGGTGGAGACCTCGAGCAACCTCGGCATCGTCAAATTCCGGGAAGATGTGTTGGAGGCGTGCAGTTGAACGGCCCTTTTCATCGTGCTAGCACATAAGTTAATTTCATAGGAAACCCCAAAGAGGATGGATACTTGTTTTTGTGTGAGTCTGCAAGGCTCAACATCCCGTCCTCTTACATGGAACCTCACTGGGGTTCAAGACAATTTTCCTTACGGGACCCTTTGGTGGCTTCCATGTTGCAGGGTTGATGGTCATGGAAACCAAGGTGATCAGATATGCGCATCAACCATTTTGCTGCACATGTCACATGTCGGGTTACTTTAAACCAAAGCCCGTTTAACGCGATCAAGTTCACGGGGGTAAAAACACTTTGATCGCACTCAGTTATTTGTTTCGTCATACTTTGGATGGACAAAATAATGCACCACTTCGAAGATGTGATTCCCCTGTAAAAACCAACCTGGGACTCCATATGGCCGGTTTGTTTTAGGTCATACGC